GTTAAACCCACTATGTCGGGGCCCTATTATGTTACAAAATCTAAAAGTGACATATACGTCACTAAATTAGTAATTAAATCATAAAGAGTGAACCTATTTTGATATATCTTTATCTAAAGAATTAACTCCTAGTAAAAGAGACTTGTTCTCAGCAACTGCCGAAAAGTTATTTGACGTCGAAGTTCTCACTGGCACACTAAATCCGACCACGAGCTACTGGAAGCGGCTTGCCAGAGATAAGAAGATAATGTGAGAAATCAAAACAAAAACTATCAGCATCTCTTTCTCTACATTTGAAAACAAGATTATCTGCCACCCCCACCCCCCCTCCCAATCCTCTTAAGACAACAACACATAAAATCAGATGGCAATACTGTTATGAGAAATACAGATTTCCAATGAAAAACCAAAATTACAGTTACCTTAAAGTATGTAAAACTTGATCTATGTTTTTACGTGCACAAAACTCATTCTGCCTTTGTCTGTCCAGACTATAAACTGTTGTGAGTTGTAAAGAATATTCCAATTTGGATGGAATAACATAACCTGTTGTAGTTGTCAGTTCTCACCTTGTCCATCAGCTGAAACATCTGCAAAATCAACTGATCCTGCCTGAGATCGTCCCCGTGCTTGAAGATTGCGCGGTAGTCACGCCCACTCGTTGTCTCAAACGTCAGCAGGCATGGGCTCAGCTTACTCTGCAACAATAGACCCACAGGAGTATAAAAATGACAGTTCTTTGAAGAGGGGTCCAAAATCTTTAAAATGTCTGAAAAGTTGTAAACTACTTTGCAATGCACTACAGCGACAGTGCATGTAATCATTGTGCTTTTAAGAAAATGAAAAGTATCTGACAGTCTTTCTTAACTCATATAGTACCGAAGACTGATAAAGTGAAAAAAACCCAAGTACCGCACCAGTTCAGAATGTTGGAGCCAGGGTAGAATTTTATTTTATTTGAGAAAAGCTTCACAGCCCAAAAAACACTCTTTAAATATTCAGTGTTTCATCAACCATTTAGCTATTGCATAGAGTGACTGCCTTTGATATTTACTGTTCAGTGCAGTGACTCCATTCGTTGTCTAAATATGTTTAGTGTGCCTGGTCGACTTGGCAACTAAAGTCGCCAGCAATAATGAACACATACTGAGGCCTGGCCACATAAGTTGCTAACAGTACTAAAAGTGTTAAATGCTCAAATGCACTAGGTACATATATGTGTTACGACTTATTTGACTACAACTTATAAACAATACAAACCACAAAAAATTATTTCAAGTCTTGCACAACTTGAACATGTGAAATGATGTATGAAGAGGAGTTGCCAAATTTGCATTTTTGGGCAAGTCATCGTGATAAAGATAATATTTCATGAAGAAACTGAAGAGAATAAATCTAATGTCACACTATTATAAAAAGGAAAAGGAAAAGACATCCGGGGCTTCCACCAACAGCACATTGCACTTAAAAGCCTGAAAGTTAATGCTACGTAATGAAGGCTACGGCCACTTACAGCGAACACATTGGCTTTTTCCGGGATAATGGACTTAATGGCCACTCTGGGATCCAGCGGCATGGGCAGTGGTTCAAAGTTGGTCATGTTGCCCGTTACTATCACCTCGTCATGCAGCAAGGCCTGAAGGCGTTCAACCTGGTAACAGACATAGTGGGAAGGTTTTTCATAGACAAAGGAAAATAACTCATAAGGTTAACTCATCTAAAAGGACAACACAAGAAATAAAAAACAAATTTGTTCAGTTCTGAGCAAGTTTACCAACCAATTTGCACATGTCCATCAAGAAGCCAGAACAAAATAAAACAGAACTGTTATTTACACATGATCAATTGACAACTGCTGAGAAAAAGAAAAAAATTAAAACAATAGAAGAAGTTTCAAGGCCGCCATCCACACAATTTAGAACATTTAATAGGCTAGCTGTTTTGACCCTGCCCATCATGGCCAATCCAAGCTAAGACAGTTACTGATGTCCCGTCAGACACACGGAGGAAAGACAGAGAAAGTAGCAATATAATATGCAACATACCGGTACAACTACATAGACATACACAGTCCAACCTGTCAAAGACAACACCCATATCGTGGGGAAAAAATAGTTGTCAGAGATAGGTAGACCTCTTGGACAGTGTCACTAAAGTTTATATATGATAATGCAAGGGTGGAAGTGGAAAGTAGTTGTTTGTACAGGTTATTGTCTTGGACAGGTGCTCATTACAGCAGATTGGACTGTACAGTAAAACTAAGGATATTCAGGTGGACATACAAGGACTCAAACATATATCAACGGCACTTATATGACCTTATTGTGTTGCAGGTGCCGTAAAATTCTTACCAGAACAAAAAAGAAAACATATCTACTGCTTAGTGTAAGACTTCGCCTAACGCCATTTTGAAAAGTGATAAATGATGGAGTCTTACACCGAGGAGTCCATACTCATACACTGAAAACACACAGAGAAGAACTGATTATCTCACCTTCTTCTTCTGACTACTCTCCTTCTGCAACAACTTGACAGCATTGCACAGACGCTCCATGAAGGCTTGTTGGCGTGACAGGATCACTCTCTGCCGTTTGAACTCTGGCGGACCCTGAGGGTGGAGGAAGGGAAGGGAGTTTAGTTTAAATAGAGGTTTTACGGCGCTCGCAACTGCATAAGGTCATATGAGCGCCAGAAGATTAGTGTTACAAGAGAGTAACAAACATAAAAAAGAAGAAGGGGAGATAAGGACAAGAGATGTTTGATAGGAAAGAAGAAGCAAACTACACCAGAGCACCCGCCAACCATTAGAGAATAAGAACAGGAATGACCAGCACTCTGGACATGGACATACTCCTTGGAAGTATGAAAATAAAAAGGCACGTGTGTATTTTGAAGAAGCAATGCTAGTTTTAGTTTCAGATTCAGGCAAGATGTCATGTCACCAAAACCAGCATCATTGACAGTGAATGTGATTCCAAATAGAAAAAGGAGAAGTATTCAGTACAAGGTTGACACATTGATTCTTTTCTAAGCTTCAGATCTGTTAAGCTAATATTTAGCCAAGTACTTGGGCTGATGATCAGGTGCATTATTTTTTAAAACCATATAAATGGAACAGGGATACAATTTAAAATATACAACTATATTTCTGACCATCTGAACAAATTATTGTAAGAGATGCAATCAATAAAATAAACATTACTTACCTTAAGAAGGGCATGGATAAACCGCTTGAATACAGCTTTGTACATCTCAGTCACCTCCTCATTCAGAATGTCTGTTTGATCCTCACATTCCACAACAAGGTACCTACAGAAAAATATTCAAATAAAAAAGACGGAAAAAATGTAAGACATGTTTATCTGCCACAGCTATCATACATAATAATTGAAATACTGACAAATACCATTATAAAGTTTAGCATTATAAATATGGTAAAGGATGAGTTTTTCAAAACAAATTTTGACAATCTCACTTATCACAAAGCAACAAATGTACATTAAAACCTTTCCAGTCTTTTGACAGATTCTCTATACTTGTAAATATACAAAGACGTGAAGTACACCTGGATGTACTACACTAGACACACTAACCTTTCCCAGTTCATTATAACAAATGGTAAGTATAGGACCCCACCATAAACCATTCTGAAAAGTGATGTATGACGGAGTTGAACACTGAACAGTTGATATATTCTTTTGGGATATTTGACAATATGACTATTCTTGACAGCAGTAGGAAGTCACTAGCAACAACAACAATGAATGAAAGGTAAATTGCAACTTACCAATAGAAATAGTTGGCAACGACAGGATTTTTGCACGACCTTGAAATAAGGAAAGACGCAAGGTCCATCTGAGGGTCAGTACATAGAGTAAAGAAACATGTGTTAACAAAATACCTGATGGCAGAACCTGGATGGAAAAAGTAGCTATGGTTGATGAAATACAAGCCCTCCCAACCAACAGAAAACACATTAACATCTTTCCTGCATGCGGCATCACTACATTGGCAATCGTCCCGAATGTTAATCTCTTCAAAGTTGAATGAATTAAATCTAATTAAACATTTAAAAGTTTAAGGACTTTTCCCAACAAAAATGAGATTGTCACATATACAGGAGGAAGTCTGAGGCAAATAATATGTCATCTATGCACTAAATTAAAAAGAAATAAAATTATAGCCTACTAAAAATAAATTGGCGACCTTTCAATCCCAATGATGTCTCTTAGCGATCTCATGGATTCATGCCTAGCAACGGAATTAGACTCTGAGCTTTCACTCAACTTATTATACAAAATTTTAACAAAGCCCCAACCCCATGTAAAAAAAAAGAAGCAAAACAACAAAAGTAGGGCAGTAGTCTCACCTCCTGGTCCAGTGTTGAGAGCTGTACCTCAGACTTGTCAGGACTTGTTTCGCTATTCATAGCGTCAAGGATTTCTTCCTCAGTCCGTGATGTTTCAGTCCTAATGCATGAAACAAAATCACAGTGGACCTTTCAGCTGACTTATTGCAAAAGTGTCAAGCATTTTTAGGTTAAAAAACAGGCGACCGTATAATTTGTCAACAAATATAATCAGTTACTGTACTTCTGAGAGATAGACCTATTCCTATTTACATCTGAACATGAGTTGTCTTAAGACAAGGCAGAAACTCAACACATCAAGTAATCATAAAGCAATAATTTAAAGAGATTTTCGACAACTCCATAGTCTGTATAAAACAAGACTAGCTCTCAGTATTACTGAAGAAGCCCACTTTTCACCTTGACAAGGGAAAAAAAAGCCCCCCTGCCCCTCCCTAAAACTAAGTCTGCCTTCAGTTTTTTTTATGACTAGCAGCCCATATAAATGGTCCAAAATACATTAGAATTGCACATGGACACATAGGGCTAATGAGAAAACAAAAAGGACATAATGATAAAAGGAGTGAACAAGAGGGGGACAAAGACAACAGGCACAAAAATGAGAGAAACTTAAGTACTCAAAACAATAGATACAGTGCTAGAAAGACGTCCTGCCATTGACAGCTTTCGAAAAGGATTTCAGTTAACCCCTACACATATTCCAGTAGTACATTCTCTGGTCACAAAAGAAAAACAACAAGGCAACTCTTCTCCCACCACCTCCCTCCTCCCCATGACGGTGAGTAGTGTAAAGAAAAGCCGCCCATAAGTCATTCTCAAACACAAGAAAAGACACAAAACCAGCTAGTCCTTTGATGATATCAATTGCTGCCAGACACAGCGTGACTCACGAGGGAGGGGCTGCCAGAGGATGCTGGTCCAGACCCACCACCGGCTCCGAGGGCTGAGGCAGGTCAGAATCCCGTCGAGAAAGATGAGAATAATCTGGGTTGGGAGAGACGTAGTCTCTGTCACTTCTGCTCTTTATCTCTTCAAAGCTCTCGTACTTTAGAGCTTGAACCAGTTGCAAGAGGTATGTGAGCAAATCCTAGGAAAAAAATATGTAGCAATGAAAATAATACATAAGTAATGAACACCGATTTAAAATTACTCAAGTTCCTCCATAGGCACTTGTTCTTCCAAAAGTGTTTAGATTGCATGGCTATGACTTTAAAAAATGGAGGGAAGATATGCACTGGAAGACTAAGAATGATACACTTAGAGACCCTAAAAGTATCAGGGTCTGTGTAGTAACAGTGAGGCTCCTCCTTGTAGCACATAAAAGGACAAAAGTTTTAATTCCACATGAGGAATGTTATAGAGTATTCTATCTTTCTGTTGGGATGCTGCACCATATTCCACCTATGAACGCTCAGACAGGCAGATTGAAGAGGTCCACCTTATAAATTATCCAAATTGTGTTGAAAGGGGGCGGAAAATATTTGCAGTCGTGCCTATCGAAACAAAATGAGATCAGACGTTATTTATATGATTAATTGAGCATAATATATTTCAGTGCATGACCATAATCATCAATGACTATACCAAACCTAGCATTAGAAGAAACAGAAAACTCCTTAGAAACTGTTCAACATTTGAACATTTAAACTGTGTGAGAGAACATTTGAGTAAGACAACAACAACAAAAAGAACATATCATATAGACACACAATAACAGCAAATTTTAGTGCTGGGAAGACAGCAAGACACACTGACAAAAGTGAAAGAAGGACAGAAAAGAAAATGTACCTTTGAGAAGCACCCTCCAACCACTCAAATTTAGAGAAAGTTACAGGCTGAGACCACAATATTAAAGAAGTAAGACCATTTGTTCTTGATTTCAAACACTGAGGACAACCTATCAGCTATTTTCAGACAGCGTAGCGCCCATGAGCTCACCTCATCATTGGCCTGCCTCAGCCTCATGATGGCATATTTCCTCACTTTAGGATGAGTAAAGGTAGGGCTCAGCAGCTCTAAAGCATCTTCAACATTCATCGGAGACCATGTCATCAGCATCTCCAGAGCAGCATTAGACTCCTGTGCATTCTTCCAGTTCACACTTTTCAAAAACTTTGCTAAAGCCTTGAATAGAAAAAAATTATGTTAGTTGACAAAAACCAAAAAAAAGCAGCATTTTTTGCTGTGCTCACAACAATATTATTATGATTATTAGCAGGACGGCAATCTATTTTGCACAGATTTCTACAAAACTTTAGACACATCAAATTTCAAGAACAGTACACAATAAGTCAAGTGGAAGTGGACTTTACATTTTACAAGACATCATCTCTTTTGTGCACAATAACTTTAACTTTAAGGAATAATTCACTCATTGTGCATTGCTATAAAACACTGCTTTCCATTTATAAAACTTGTACATAAGTACCACTTAAAAAAACACGTAATATCTACTCATACTACAAGAAAATAAAAAAAGAAAGAGTCTCTTTCATACACCTGAAAGAGAAGACACCCACCAATAAACCAACTTTGGAGAAGCTTCATGCTGCAAACATTTCATAGATTTCTAACATGTACTCAAGAAGAGCAGATCAAAACAATGCCATTAAGACAAAAGGACAGATAAGGAGAAGGGGTAAGGTGTTCTGTTGATACCCTCTGAAAATACAGTCAAAGGTTAATTTTCCAAGAAAAGGCTTGTGCTGAAACATTACAGAATAAAAAGACCAAATTAAAAGTTAACGGCACTGTGATAAAAATCTTTCTCATGACTTTGACCCCACGTCAAGAACAAAAAGATAAAAAGTATGCAAAAGATGTAACTTTAAAACAGTTCTCACCTCTTTTTGAGAAGACAAGTAAAACCTGAATTTCCACACCAAGTCTTGTTCTTCTGATGACAGAGTCTTTGTAGGTGGGTAGCCCACAATAGTCTGAAAAAAAACCCAAAAAAACCTCAAAATATGGCAAGATTTGGGAAATTATGACAACTAAAGTAATAATACCACATACATAATATTACACATACATGTGATATTTATAAAATTATTTTTACTCTATATCTTTTGTTACTCTTTCAGAAATAACATAAAAGACACGACCATTCCAGAGCGCTGTAAAGCCTGTATTGAAGGTAAGTATATTATTGCAATAATTAATTACCCTTTCCAGTCAAAGCTAACGAAAAAGGCCTGATGTTTGACCAAACAAACATTGCATTATTTCAGAAGAATAAACAATGTGTTTGGTTTAGTTTTAGTAAGGTTTTACGGCGCTCGCAACTGCATAAGGTCCTATGAGCGCCAAGGGGTGGATGTCAACAGAGAAGTCCTTATAGGGAATTGGGCTTGCTCAGCTCACCTCTCTTGCTTCAATAGCATAAAGTCTGCTTCGACTATCAAGGCACCCCAGAAATAGCGGGTCACAAGAGAGTCACAAACATACAAAAGAAGTAGAGGTAAAATGATGATAGTAAGGATGAGGAAAGAAAAAGCAGCAGTTCCCTGTAGCAATTCCGCCACTGTTATGAGTATGACATTGATGAATCAACCCATTTACAATTCTACTGTGCAACAGAACACGGTAATGTCCCCCCTTTGGGAATAGCCTAAAGACACTTCAGTCAGTAGCACCGCCCCAGGGGTAATTGTGCTTGGAAAACACACAAAATGGCATGGACAAGAAACGCAACAATAGAGGATTTGTCTATTTGAATAAAGAGGAGAAGCACATCAACAAAATGAATAAAATACCAGTCATTTAGAGCTAGAAAAAAGCAACGCATAGACAGAAACATCAAAGAGATAGTAAGAACCAACCACCAAAGTCACCATTCAAGCACTTGCAAGGTAGAGCACAAGGAAATCAGCAAGAGCAGAGAAGATTGTTGGGTCATTTCACGTCAACCTTGCAAGAGGTGTCATTAGTCAATCATTGTTCTTGAGCAGAAAAAGACATTCCTAGAATCTCAAAAGATTGAAAATTTTATAACACATCTAGTTTGGAAATTGAAAATTCCCTACATTCAGACACTACTCCCTTTTTAACTTTTTACAAAGTTGTTTGACACAGTCCAATAAAACATGACACTGAAGAAGAGGAGGGGGAGGACTCCCAAAATCCTCCATCACATGAATAAAAAACTGAGTGAATTACATTGAGCAAATCCCTTGTATGAGCATCTGGCTTGAGATCCCGATCACTTGGTCCACTCCGCAGACTGCGGGCTAACCTGTGATGTTTTGACTCCACTATGTTTTCCTGCAAAATGAGAAAGAGAGATAAACATACCTGATTAGACTTATTTCATGATTATGAAGAAAGTAGTTATGAGCACAAGCACTGTACTACTTATCTATTACCTTTAGTACAAATAGAGAAAGAAAACACTTCTATCCTGAATAGAATTTACACTTTTGTTTCCATGCAGAACATAAGAGGCCCAAGACTTTTCATACTTTCCTTATTCTATGATAAATATTAACAACATTATGGTGATAAGAGCATTTTAGTTCTCTTCGCATTTCACAGGCCACATCTTTTTTTTTTTTAACAGTAAACTGTGCCTTAGAAAACACAACATCTCAGTCCAAACCTTTACCACAAAACCAGTCATTAAGCATGCTTTCCTTTAATACACACACCAAGAAAATATAACGTCTCATACAAACAAAAGATATAATTAACAAAAAATGAGCTCAGATCAAGCTTTAAATAATTTTTGTGGTTGTCATTTTGTGTTTTTTAAATAATCGAAAAATAGAGGCACAAGGAATCTATACCAAGTACTCTTTTATCCATCTAATACAGCTGACTATTTGACTCATGTCTAACCCTTTTTTTATTGCACTGAAGTGAAATTAATTTTCACAAAAGTTACATTGGAAACATTACTTACCATTAGCATTTCAGGATCATTTATGGTTACAATATCCTTTTGAGTTCTAAACTCATATGCTCTGTCTCCATCCTGAAGGGAAAGCACAAAAAAATAAGTAAGATTATGTAATAACAACAGTCCTCTTCTTAAAAAAAAGAAATTAAACAGAACTAGGAAAAATGGATAACATCTTTCATGATAATTGTTATAAAGTACTGCAACATAATTAAATTTATGTCAACATAACGCCATATCATCAGGAACTCAAAAAGAGAGACTAAACTTGGCCAAAAGACATGACCCAGGTTCCAAAAACAGCAGGGGGAGAACATTTCTGTCCAAAGCTCTCAGCCACGACACGAGAAGTGTTTGGTACATACAAGTAACTTATAAATCAAACAGATGAATTTTTTTCGAAGATTTTTGTTACTGATAACAATTTTCTTGATACGCCTTTGATTTTATTTCAGAAAGAATATTCTTATGAATATTTGTACAATGAGTATCCAATCCCTCATGGCTGAGTTAGGCAGACATGACTGTGATAAATAAACTTGAACATTTAAAAAAAAAAGTAAAAACATAGTGCTTTAAATGAGAACAATTGCACAAATATTTTCAAAGTAGACTAGTGTGTATGGAATTCCTTTTATTTCAGAAAGAATATTCTTATGAATATTTGTACAATGAGTATCCAATCCCTCATGGCTGAGTTAGGCAGACATGACTGTGATAAATAAACTTTGACATAAAAAAAAAAAAGTAAAAACATAGTGCTTTAAATGAGAACAATTGCACAAACCTTTTCAAAGTAGACTAGTGTGTATGGAATTCCTTCGTAGTGTATCCTTGGAAACTCTACCATTAAGTACATGAACTCGGAGTCTCTTTTTTGCTGCTCATTCACCAATTCAATCTCTCGAAACGTCAAACGATCCAGCCAGTCCACCTTTGTCATATGACCATCTCTGTGCTTCTTAGCCAGCTGAGGAAGACACACCACAGGGCTAGGAAGAAGTGTATTCAAATACAATATTTCGTTTCTTCCCCAATATTCACTGTCACTCAATGATATGAATCCTTACTTCTATCTTTGAAAAAGAAAGGAAAATGTTAGATAAAAAATGACCATTCCTTTGACAAAGGGGATCCAAAATTTTTTTTTTCAAAAAGCTCAAAAATAATTTCACCAGTCCAAATGGCTGATTCAGAAGAACAACCCCCCCCCCCAAGTATTTATGGATCGATTGTTACGCCATCATCGCAATACATAACAAAAAGTACCTCCTTTCAAAGAACCACATCAAGCCAATCTTTGTCAGTACCTTAGCCAGTTGGGTCATCCGATCATTAGTGTCTTTTGATTTCCCCGGTGTGCTCGATGGAGATGCAACATCCGGTACACTCTCAGGCCAAACTTTTAAATCATGCATTCCTTTGCGAAGAGTGCTGTACATAAAAAAAGGGAAAAGGTGTAAAACTTTTTCAAGATATTAAAACCCAAGAAAAATTCACACGACTAACTTCATGTATGTTTGACAACAATCAAGGTCCTGAGCCTTTAGAAATTATTTCAGCATGACTCTCTCAGCTGAACTTTTAAAATTCACTTGGAATTAATCCATATAATCATTACGTACATCAGTACTAAAGGTACTATGGGTGATGCTATATTAATTTTTCTCCACCACAAGAAGAGAAGCACATAAAAGCTAGAGTTTTTCTTTTTTGTTGCTGTTGATAGCTACAATACAAAAAATAAATCTTACACTTGCATAGAAATATAGCAAAATAAGTCAGTCTGACAATGCTATAGTCTATCCTCATAGCCCCTAAAACAAGATTTTTTAGAAACACAAAAACACATTACATACCCTCTTTTCCCAAACACAGGAACAGTAGTGGCACCGATTGGGATCATACCCTCCGTCCCATAGTAATCCCATACTGTAAATGCTAATAAGGCGTCTCGAGGTAAATCACTGAACTTGATGGGTAGAGAAAGCCATTCATTCCAGCTGAAACATATATTCATGCATACATCACAGATTTATGATAAGAGGTATAGTATAATAATAATAATAACAATAAATAGCATTTATGCTGCGCATTTCCATTTTCTTTAAAAAATGCTTCATCTGCATTATATTGATATTTGATAAAGACATCACATTTTAAATATTAATGGACAGGCATTACGTAAAACTTAATATAATGTATAAAATGTCTTCTGTATATGCAGAAGATGGTGATGAGTGACAGGGAATCTTTTTCTCAGTAACTTGTGCTAAACTAGTTATCTATAAATGCTACTCCTCCTTCTCTGCACCCGCCACGAAGGAAAAACTTAATTAGATAATCAACTGGGTATATTGCTGATAAAATAGCATCGTCACAGTACTGCTGCAACCATGACTCTGTAATACATGAAATATCGAGGTACATTTCAATAAATAAATCATTCAATTCATCCGCATTATTGCAACATGACCTGGTGTAAGGACAAGCTACTCTGACATTTTGTGTTGCACTGGTATAAAAATCCACTACAAAAAAACATAATTATGAAGAAAGATTACGGAGCAGCCTGTCAGGCGCTCAACAAAACTCCTGTTTGACAGTGTACATGACAGACAAAAAATATTGCCTCTTATAACTAACTTACAATATGGACCCATGCCCTATCTTTTTTTTAAAATCTGCAATCAAATATCACAGCTTTCAAGATGGTCATTTGATGAGACGAAAATACAAGCACTGTCTGTTCTTCGCAACGAAGATAGACTGAAACAATAATGTCGAAATAAAGTAAGTATTGAGTTTCTGTTTCCACCATGAACATGACTTATGATTACAATATATAGTAAACTCATTATGAATTTGTGGACATTCATATAAACACAAATGTGTGTGTCTCTGTGTATGTGTGTGTATGTATGTGTGTATGTATGTATGTATGTGTGTGTGTGTGTGTGTGCATGTGTGGGTGTGTGTGAGTGTATGTGTGCGTATATGTGTGCGTGTGCACGCAAGTCCTAATATTGTTCTTTCAGTTTGTGTCTCAGTGCACATATGTGAAAGTCTGAATGACTCAGTGCTCATGTATTTCAAACATGTGCCTGTGGGCATGTTTTCATATGCCACACCATGACACATGTTCATGAATAAGCACTCTGAATTGAGGGAAAGACAGTCAGACATCAAGACAAATGATCGTCCTGCATCAAATAACAATAGAACAAAACAAATTTGAAGATATGAGAAATAGAATCCACTTACTTCCATCTTGATGTGAAAGATTTGTGTGATGTCTGTACAGGTAAAGTTATTGGCAAACCATTATTGTAAACTTGAACAGTCACAAACAAGTCAGAAAAATCTTCTTGATATGCACCGGAGAAGTAACCAATTGGGTTGTCCAAAATTTCAGCGTAGCTAGGCCGAATCCTTTTGCCTTCAAGGCTTCCACTGAAAGAAAAAAAGAAACTCCTGTATTAATGAAAAACATTTTGCTTCTTGAAGGAAGACTCCCCCATGACTCCTCCTCAAAATGATCGTAAATATTTTAAAGCCCCATTAATACAATTAAAATCACACAGAAGGCAGGATGCTTCAACCCTGTCTGTCAGGGCCAACCTGGTCTGTGAGGGATGTTACATCCAAGAAGAAAAACACAGATACTTAATAAAGTATCTTCTCCACTTAAAACTTGAACAGATGTCTTTTGAGCATCAAGCAAAGATCCTAATCATGGGACCAAGCAGCAGAAAGTTTATAACTATAATTGACATTACTCATTCTGTAAATAGTAAACACAGTGAACAATGAAAAGGGGACTCTCGTGGCCTAGAGGTTAAGGCGTTGGCCTCTCATTCAAAGATCCCGAGTTCGAATCCGGGTAGAAACGGAAAAATTTTCTTCTCTAAAATGTCTCCTTTCATCTCCTTTCCTGCTCTCTAGCAATGTTTTGTCGTCTGCTTTCGTCTCCACTTTCTTCCCCCACCCCCTCACCTCCGTTGCCCTCTCCTCTGGGCTCCTGACTCTTTCTGCAGCCTTTCTACTGCGACTCCTTGGCTCCTTCTTACTGCTGTCCTTCAGCCACACCCTTGATCTTACGGTAGGACAGATCTACACCTAGCCTTCTCAGACAAGGGCGAAAAATCTCGGAGGTCCCGTGTGCAAGTTGCGCACGTTAAAAATCCCTTGGTGGTCTTAAATTGATAAGAGTAGGCTTCGGTTGCCACGCGGGCAAAATTCAAAATTTCCTAATAAGTGAAAATGTTTAATGTCTCCCGCGCACTCATATGACCTTATGCAGTTGCGAGCACCGTAAAACACTTACCAAAAAAAAAAAAGAACAATGAAACTCGGATTCAGCAAAGCAGGTGTATTATCCAAAGAAAGATCCTTCTGCAATCTCAGAAATATTCTTGCTCATCAAATTCCACAAAACAATCATTTTCAAAAGAAGCAGTGTCATCAGTTCCCGCTAGTCCAACAAATCAAACTTCTTCAGGAGCTTTCACCACAAAGAGTCAGATAAGAATATGAGATATTTCAGATGATGTTTGCCTATATATGTTTATTCCCTATCGACTGAATTCCCTGTTTTTGTACACAGCTGCTGCAAAAATCAATTACCCATCAAATAAACCAGGTGAGTCTTCTATGCTAAAAATCTATACTTTCATCCTCTCTGCTCAAACTGAATTTATAATAGGATTAAGATTTACTTCACTTTCAAACTTAACTATACAAAAATTAGCCACACATGTGCAATTTCTATGAAACTTGAGGGAAAAGATCCTGGTAACTCTAAAATGAACAGCTCAAAACATGTCATGGTGGAGTTTTTTAACTTCAGTCCTTATTTTGCCATTACAACCATTTTACAACTTTCCTTTTTATTAAGAAAACTATGTACACAGTAGAATAAGCATTTCACATTTCTGAAAAAGTATATATGTCCAGCATTGCTTTTCTCCTCTTGCAAGCTAAAAAAAAATCCTCTCAATAATATAACCTGTCGAGAAGAGCCTCAAATAGTCTCAGATGAGATGTTTCAGTGACAAATTCAAAAAGACAGCAAACACCTGTCCAGTCTGGTGCAAACATCCTAAGAGCCCATACTCCTTTTATTTTCAGTACCTTTGAAATGGTTGCTTGTCAACTTCACTAAGTTTCAGTGTTGAACAAATAAGCATGGAACCTATACAATGACCACTGACCAACTTTGTTTTAGTACCCTTGTGTTCTTTTAGCTCCCTTGTATTCTTTTAGTACCCTTGTGTTCTTCAACAAAAGTACAATTTCTGGACCAGTTGAAGCAGCATTCCAAGTTTCAGTGAGCAACAGATGCCTCTGAAGTCCGAAATCATATTTGTTAAACTGAGACCAGATATGTGACACATTTCAAATGATTGTAGTATAGAACAGTATAGTCCACACTCAGTATATTAACACAGCTTTGCATGTTGATTAAGGTCCTTTCACTGGTAAAAATACACAGCATAAGCTATAACTTCCAACTCCTGAGACTTCTCAGAAGCATGACTTTTTTTGGTGCCATAGTCACTGAGACTTAAATGCCAAGATTGTGCGTGTCATTAGGCTTGGTCTTTTCACTATAGATTTTATTAGGAACAAGTGTGGACTCTACATAAAAGGACCTTATCCTAAAAAAATTGTCAGTCAGAAGAAATGAACCATTCTCTTCAAACCCCCAAAAGTATTTAGCCATTCAAACTTTTTTGTACAGTTTCTGGTAATATGGTGTAGTCAGCCAAAAGAACATATCCAAGTCCAAGGTCTATGATTTCAGAATAACTCCTTCTTTACTTTGCCGATGACCATAAAAAAGGCTTTTAAAAATAAAAGCAGAGTACAACTTTGAAACTGCTGATATTCTCTCTTGAGTTTATTTGCTACATAATTCCAGTACAGTCAAAACATTCTATAGTCGTCTCTCAGGATCAATGAGAAAAGTGACCGTTATAGACAGAAACTGAGCTATGGTCATTTACCAGGCTTGACATATGCTTTAAAATCTGAAATCTCAATCTCATCTTTCAATTTCATTTCCATAAAAAATGTTATCTGTTATAAGAGTTTCTTTGAATTGATTGAACATTTACACTGAGCATCATAAAAGGTCGAGGAAAACTTTTATTGCGTGTGACTGTTAGGAGAATGTTCTGAGGCTGACTTGTCACAAAAATGACTGGCTGTAGTCACATTGGCATTGGTCACGGAATAGTGGCCGGTAGTACAGGGGTGACCCACTATGCAGAGGTGACCGCTAAGGCAGGTATGACTACAACCAACCCCCCCCCCCCCCCCCCTTCCTTTTTCATTCTGCCTGTCAAAAAACAAGTGCTTTATGAAAAGAAATTTCAGATATTAGGTACCATTCTTCAGCAATAATTTAAAAAGCAACAATTGAAAGAAAATAACAATTATGAGGCTTTTCTTCTGTTTCTTAAGCCCCAGTTAAACTCAGCAATAGATCAAATCAAATTTTCCTCTACGAGAACTTTCAGTTTCATCAAATTGCATGTTCTGTTTCCACGTTTCAGACTGATGTCCATTTCTCTTTAAACTGAGGAGATTCTCCTCCTGGAGTCAGGAAAAACGTCACGTTAACAGCGATTTGCTTGCACTGTATGTGCTGTTACTTTTAAGAAAAGACAGAAAAAGAGGGCTCATCTACAGTACAAAATACTGGCTTTTAAAGCGACATATATTCAATAGATCCTTTCTCTGATAGCTTTGAGGTCTCATGCTTTTTCAGTCTTTTCTTGAATGTTGTTCTGAGATTGTTCTTTTTATTCTCAAAAAGTCTTTAGTTCCATCATTTGTTACTACTGTAATTTTGGACTTAATATTCCACAGATATTCGTGGGATCTGTACATCCCAATTTAAAAAAAGAACAGTGTCTTTCCACCAAGTCACCAAAAAGCTTACTGTACATGTAGTGTGCAATATGTTCACCACTTTGAGGTTAAACATATAATACTATAATGATTTGTCTAATGAACGTTAGATCGTCTAACTCAACAGTGGAATAAAAACATGTGTATACATTAACCCTATCAACCTGAGCACACACCTGACATGCGCAGGTCAAAAAAGCTCAGGAGACCTGTTCTCAAAGGGTAATATAAACACAAACAGTCAAACCTGCTCTCACAGCCACCTGTGCAAACGACCCCACCCCCCACCCTATACTTTTTCTTACTATAATGTGACTGTCCAAGAGGTACAGCTGTCTAAGATAATCCCTTTTCTCCTGACAATGGCGGGGCCACCTGGACAATTTCATCAGTACATACACTGACACATCACACCCTCATTACCCCCCCCCCCCCTTTTAATTCACTACTTTCTCTTTTCACTTACACCCACATTTACTATTTAAATTTACATTCAGCATAGTTCAACTGATAAAGTACTGGGTTACTTTCAAACAATTTTTGTACGAAGTATGTTAGGACTAGAATCTATAAGTCTAGAATTTTGTATTCATGTCATGCAGTCATGTGATGGAGTCATAAAGTCATGGCAATTCTTAAATATTCCAAAGCTGCAGGGCCTATTAGGCTTCCTTCATTTAAAAAAAGAACATTTATATATGTAATAGGGCCTACTATATAAAATGGAAGTGAGTATTCCGAATAAATTTTTTTTGGGTTATTCCCACCCGGGTCGGGTCACTTCTCATCTTTCATCTATCTAGATTGGCATTGGACAGAAGGGCGAGAGCCCAGATGTTGCAGGATCGATAACAACAACAACAACAACAACAACAACAACAACATCTATCTAAATCTAGTTTATAGGTATGTTTTTTATAGATGTAATACAGGCTGAAGGCCGACCTCTAAACCTGGGATGAGAATTAGACACATACACACTGGCAGATCTAGCCTAAGTAGATCTAGTACGCCTCTAAAATTTTGTGCTGGGTCTGGAACTAGTAAGCACATTCAAACAAGAGTGCTAATATGCTAAGGGGAAAAATTGACGTCACTTTCAGCTTTTGAATGCTTTCTCTGTTATAATATTAAATCAAGCTCAATGAAAGCAAAGAAAAAGGCCAAAAATAAAAATGAAAGTAAAATTAAGAACACACACGTACAACTTAGACAAAAATTGAGTAAATAAAACATTTTAAAATCCCCTCAGGGGGGTGGGAAGAGAAAATCTTATTCCCACCCGGGGTGGGACGGGGTGGAAATAACGGCAGCCATATAAAATACGAAGTGACTATTCGGACTCGAGTCCGAATATGAAAAAATGTTATTCGGACTCGAGTCCGAATAAAGACGGCCTATAAAATATGGTAGTGTTAATACTGTTAATTGCGACAGAGTGACGCGGTGACAACTAATGCGGCATTAATTGCGACAGAGTGAACACAGAGCTCTTCTGCGTTGATAATTAACACATCATCTACCATTTCCCAAATATAATCGAGGCAACAAATATTACAACAAAACATCAGCAGCATACAACAGCAACAAAAACCACTAAGGGCAACAACAGCGACAACAACAAGAAGAAAAGAGCTGCAACTGTCTTTGTTTGTCTGTTAGTTCGGTGAGTGTGTATGTACGTGTGTGTGTGTGTGAGTGTGTATATGTGTGGGTCCGAGTGTGTGTTTAAGGCCACACAAGCATGTGCGTTTGTGTGTGTGTGTGTCTGTGTGTGTGAGTGTATAAAATATGTGAGTGTGTCAGGGCACTCCGGTACAATTGCGGTACCCCGTTTGTTTACAAGACGGTCATTGTGGAAGTGAATCTAGATCTAGATCTAGATCTAGATTAGACATAATTTTAATTCAGTATGTGTCTGTGTGTGTGAGTGTGTGTGTGCGCATATATGTGTGTATGGATATATGAGTAGTGTATGTGTAAGTGCGTGCGTGTGCATGTGTTTGTTTTCTTTTTAAATTCTTTTTTTGTCTCAGACTCACTCTGTCGCAATTAACGCCGCATTAATTGTCACAGCGTCACTCTGTCGAAATTTTAAACGCCATAAAATATAGGCCGGCACTATTTCTCCGAACGTTCGGGAAAATAAAGCTAGGCACTATTTCTCCGAACGTTCGGGAAAATAAAGCTGGGCACTATTTCTCCGAACACTCTGAAATCACATCCTTTCCCGCAAATTTCGGATTATAGATCTATAATTATAGTATAGGCCTACTAAAGATTGTTCGTATACAATATAGTTCAATCGGTCCAAAAAATGTCCGCAGTAAATATTGATGGTATAAAGAAATGCTACAGTTCCAAACAGTTTTTCGCTACAGATAAGACGTGTTGCCTATGAAGGGTGCTGCTCTTAAACTTAATGTGTTGTGTTCACTCGTGAGCTGTCCAGATCTAGATCTAGATCTACGGAGGGTTTTATTGATAACGACACATATGTATAGAACTAGCATCTTCACTTAGCTTCACTTCGTCTCTTTCTCACTTGTTGTCACCACGTTGATTTGTTGAATACGTTAGTTATTTCTATTTTTCCCTCTTTGGGGTGTTTTATTTTGTGTGTAATTTTTGTTCTTGTTATTGTTCTGATGTGTTGTTTTTCTATCAATTTTTTTTGTTGGGGAAAAAAAAAAAGGGGGGGGGGGGGTGTTGTATAGTGTAACGTCATTTAATTTGATGTTCCTACCTTCATTAGATTCTAAATATATTATATACATGTATATTAGATATATAGATTTAAATGTGTTGTGTTAGAGCGTACATTCCACCAAAACCGATTACATGTACTGACACTGGCAGGCCTCTTAGTGTGATTCCATAATTTATATATGTAATATTAATAATAATATCCTGTACTTTTTTTTTTTTAATACGCTCATTTAGGGCCAATCTTCTTCGGACAGGTGGACACACGCCCTTATTTGTTAATTTTTGTTGTTGTTTATGGGCTGTTCTAATTTTGATTTCATTCTTTTGTGAAACCTTTCTTTTTCACATTTTTACACTCATCTAAAAAATCTCTAGAAACTAGCTCTTGAAAATTGAAATAGATATAGACCCAAAAATTTGCTCCTGTGTGTGTGTGTGTGTGTGTGTGTGTCTGTGTGTGTGTGTGTGTGTATGCATGTGCGTGTGTCTGTGTGTGGTAGTAAGTGTGTAAGTGGAGAGTGAGGAGTGTGTGTGCTTGTTTTTTGGGGGCTTTACTTCAGCCTTTATTCAGTATGTAACAGTTCAAAGTATACAAAAATAGAAACACAGGATCCATTCACTCCAGGGCTCATGAGTCGTTCCTCTCTTTCAGTTTCAGTTTCACTCATTCATTCAAGGAAGTGGATATTTATACTATACGGCAGGCCGTCGAAAAATCGGAAGTGATAATTCCACGGCACATAAATTCAGCCAATCAGAACATCCGGACTATTTATAATTAAGCCTATAATCTCTTTTCCATAATATAAGTAACGCATTATAGAGATACAATTTAAGATACCTGTATGTTAAGTTAATAATGTTTATCCTTTGCTATAATTTTGTTCATTCATTATGAATAATGATTAAATGTTTTGTGTGATTGTAACGAGAGTGAGAGATGCACAATTTATTTTGTGCTAGCAAAATGGAGAGAAGACTGTTTTTTTTCCACCAGTAAGGTGCCCATTTGCGGATGGGATCGAGTCGGGTCGGGTAGGGATGATCACCCGACTCGTTGCCGGGAAAACAAACACAATTCTTGCATTTATACACTTCAAGCAGAGT